CATAACAAAACAAGCAAAATGTTGAAAAGACACAGCCAGGCAATAGCAACACCTACTCAGGACAGAGAAAAATCAGCTGGATTCGGCCACTGCCAACGCACAGTGTGAGCACATCCACTAGTCACAGGCCATAGAGGCAGAACTAACCTAAGCCAGCACCACCCAGATCTACTCCTAACTCCATCCTTCACATGTCTCAGTGAGAGAAGCAGGAATAATTCTGCATCTGGTAAAGCTGTTTAAGCAGGGCAAAACTCTTATCTAACTCTCACTTGAGCAACACAAAATTTAATCTCAGATTTGTCTTGAAGTACTCCACTGAGGATTGCAACACATCAAAAGAGAAGATAAAAAAAGCCATCTGAACTAAAGAAACCCTTGCTGACTAGGCAGTACCGTTTGTCTCACCCAGACGGGGAAGTGACCTGGAATTCAGTGTTCATACAAGCCAGAATGAAAAAGGATTTGCACACAGAGATGCTCCTCGGCACCCGCTGTGATTGCACTCAAGGTACAGACAAGGAACAGCTGGCAGAGAGCAGCTGGCAGGGAGGGTTACAGTGGGAAAAGCCCCTCCAGCACAGCACACAGCGGCAACAGAGCAAGGCACGCGAAAGCCAAGAGTAGAAGAGGCTTCACGCAGCCTGTCCACATCCACACTGCAAGCACCAGACTCTGCCGTGTCTGGATATCCCATCCGGTTCGGCCACTGATCCCGCTGTGTGATTTCAGGGCAGTAGCTTCTCTGCTCTGTCTGTGGAAAATGGACAAGAGGCCAAACCTGATGAAAGGGAGTGGAGAAGCCACCTGCCAAGGTGAGCACGGCCTGCTTGGCTCGAGGGACAGGGAACATCACAGAAGAGCAGAGTCAAGTCGTAGCAGATGGTTTGGACTGGAGGCAGGTCACAAACAGTGAGTTCACAGGGGACATCTCCCACCAGCTTAACCAAGTCACCCCCAGAATAAACCCTGGGTGATCTTTCAGCATCACACGAAATTGATGCAGCAGAAGCAAGATCACAATATGAATCTCAAGGGAAGCCCTTCTGTTGCCAGTGAAGAGATTGTTCTATCTCTTCCTGAAGAGATAGAACCTGGAAGTCACTAATCACCATTGAACCCCTTCTGTGACAGTCAAAAGCCCACCGGCCCTGAGCAAATCCACTCCCCAGAGGAGGTCCACCCCAGGTAACAAATGAAGAAGTGTCATATAAACACACAGTGCTTGGGATTTATGGTTGTATGGAGCTTGTAAGGCAGATGAACAGATCCAGCTATGCCTTTAACGAATTGCAACATTTTAAATAAAACTGTCCTAAAAGTATTATTGTATGTCATTTACTTCAACAAATAACTAACAACAATTAACAACATTTTTGCCTAAGTAATTTCAGCAGCACCAGGCTCTTAAAAAAACCCCTGAGCAATCCGTAAAAACAATTAGGGCGCAATAACATTAACCACCTCAGAGGATGACAAGCCATTATACTGTAGGCAAATTAGACATGTTAGCCATTAGTGACTGTAATGACAATCTCATTCCTATTCTGACCACTTTGTAGTTCAAGCAATTTACCATCTGACTGACAGACTATTCAGCATTTGTCAGACAGGAGATGTTTCCACAGCGGAGAGTTTGACTACCCTTGGCCACTACTGAGTTGAAATGTAAAGGATGCTCCTAGTGATAGATGTCTGGTAGGCTGTGCTCACAATGGCAAATGCCCTGAATTTGAGGACTTTAAAGGAACCTACGTTCAGCTGACGAAAGGATTTGGACCAATAGGTCGTTTAATAACTTCGATTTTATCTTCAGGCTTTTCAACACATGTCCTTCCATCCAAGAACCCAGGCAGCTCTCGTGCTGACACCCACTGCATTGCTGGCAGCACGACTCTGTGCACTTGTAGAATCACAGAATGGTTTGGGGTGTAAGGGACCTTAACAATCATCTCATTCTCTAAACAATCATCAGTCAACCCCACAGCCATGGGCAGGGACAGCTTCCACTGAACCAGACTGCGCAAGGCCCCATCCAACGTGCCAGAACCTCTCACAAAAGCCATGTATGTGAGTCCAGGCTGAGAGCATGCTTTAAACACAGAGTCACACACAGTCAAAGGCTTAATCCTGCTCATTTTGTTACTCCCACAAACTGTCCCTCATCACAGCTGCAGCAAGACACTACACCTCTCAAAACAGCAATCCCTGGCTATTTACACAGGTATTTTTATTTGAAAATCAGCTCTGGGAATCCTTAGTCGAACACAAAACCCTCATTGAATCCTTCCACAAGACCAGGACAGTCTTGCCTTAGTGTTCTTGCATTAGCAAGAGTTTACATGGATCTGATCTTTACATAAGGTTTCTTGCTGTTCAGAGGGACAGTGGAGACTGAGGAGCTTCTGGCACTTGGTTGCCAGAATTCAACTCAGACTACTCCAAATTACCCAGATGCTTTCACTGACCTTGCTAAGTCACTTAGTGTTGTTGTCTTTGATCCAGGTACAGAAGGCAAAGGGGTAACAGCCCTTCGGAGGTTTGAAAAATATTATTTGATCAAGTTAATTACCCAACATCAACAATACTTATGTACTTCAACAGTAGGAGTCCACAAAGGAGCAGAAACTCATCATGTGTTGGCTCTGTGTAGCAAGGACCTGGCTATTTAAACACCTGTACAATACCACAAGTGCCACCATATAACACAAAGCAGTAATGTGAAAGTTTGCATATAGATTTTTAGCACAAACTAATTCAAAATTTATGCTTCAAAAACTGAGTAAAATTAAAATTGCTTGGTAACTAGAATCTGGCAGGAGACTATGGAGAATGGCAATTGATGCTGTTCTTAAATAATATATTAATAATACATTAAAGCCCACTTAGTATTAGACTATTATGGAAACTCATACGACTTGAGAGTCCACATGCAGGTTTTCTGTGAAGCTCTATTCCTCCTTTCCCATTCAAACAGAGAGCCGCAGTCACAGGCAGTTTCCAGCAGAAAGTGAAATTTGGAGGTTTTACAGCAAGCTTCCTTAGAGACAGCAGGACCAGAGCAAAGACTGAGACACTCTTTCTGTTAAACACCCCAAATATACAGCAGCTCGCCTTACATGGACTTCAATTTCAAAACATTCTATCATGATAAGAAGCAAATTTATGCAGCAAAAAGAGAGTTTTATGTGACAACTATTTGAATCCTATAGTATACTATACTCACTACGTATCTCCAGTGTATAATTGCTCTTAAAAACTTGGTTTTTTGAAGGAGATTGATTTAAAGCTCATGGTATTTAGCGCTGCACCAACTAATCAACAGACACAGATAAGAAACAATAGCTCCTTTTACTGCATGAGACTCTCTTCAGTAGCATCTCTGAGATTATCACTATGCTTGGAGAGTGGAGAAACATATGGGCAAGTGGAATAGCTGATGAGCCACACAGAGTTTTTGTTACTAAACCATGTGGTGGAAATGGTCTAAAACTGTTTTGTAAACTAAAGCTGCAGCAGCAGCGCTACGGATCTTCAAACAACACTTGGTTTACAAACATGAAAAATAATAGACCAAACTCCTTCCTACATCACCTAACAGGGTAATATTTTAAAAATCTGGATTCTTCTACCCCCCAAAATGGGGATCTGTGGCACAACAGCATTAATTACTATCCGAGAAGATCAGCCTAGTTTCCAGTGTTAGTTAGGTGTTTTAGGAAAAAGGTCACACATCTGTATCTTATTGCTAGTTCTGTATTAAAGGGAGGACTTCAACCAGGCCTGCCCAATATTAACACATCCCTGCTTATCACCTATCATTGTGTATGTTTCCTGCAGTCTTGGAAGAACTGTAAAGTTTCTGTTATCCCAGCAGGCGAGACATTAAGCAATCGCATGTCAGCTCCCCTTCATGGCTAATGCAAACACGTTCAAAGAAATACTGAAGAATATCAAACTGTACATCACTTAAAAACAAAGAAAAAAATTAAGAAGGGGCAATAAGGCCCTTGGAATTTGGACCTGATTCATTCTAGCTTTTACTAAAGAGGGCAGGGAGGGGGTTTTGTGGGGGTTTATTTTCCAGTTTACCACTTACTCTGATCTTTAATTTTGTACTCGGAGGAAAGGGAGAAATCCCTGCTTCCCTCCAGGAAGAGAAGGGAAATCCGCCTGTCTTCCAGTTGTCTGCATTTTACCCAGACACGTGAAATTTTTGCGAGGATGAGAATCCCCACTGCACATGCTTTTAAGGCAGGGCCATTCAAAAAAAATCCTCCCCGCTGCAGCGACCCGGTTCTCCACCGCTATCGGCAGCACCCTGACTGCAACATTCCTCCTCTCCTGTGCAGCTGGGCAAGGTGAAATGGGCTCCAAGGATTATCGCCATTTCCCAGCCACGTCAAAAGAAAAGAGAAAAAAAGGTGCCTTTTCACGTGGTTTCTATAATAAACCGCAGAGTCAAGGACCAGCGCGGTGCTTCTCAAGTGCTCCTCGAAGCGGGGATGCTGACACGAAGGAGCATCCACACAAACCTTCCCTTACGCATCCCAGGAAGCTCCACAAGCTTTCCCTGGCAGCAACCTGGCAGTGCCTATGTCTGAGGGAAGCCGGGCTCCCAGCCCCGGGCTTTGTTAGCAGCCACAGCGGCTGTCGGTGCAGCTGCTATCCGGGAAGCGAGAAGCATCCTATTGTGCGGGCAACGCCGCAAGCCTCGGAAATCTCAGCCCCTTGGGAAAGGCACTCCTGCGAGGATAAGCCTCCATCCCCCGCGCCGAGCCCCTTCTCCTCCCCGCAGCAAACGGAGCCACCCCAAAAAAAGTTTTGCTGGGCAAGAGGGGCAGGCAGGGCTGGGAAAAAACCACAAAGGGTCGGGGAAGAAAGAGTAAAGTTTGGGGTTCGGCGGAGCGGGGAGGGCGCCCGGGAGGGCTCCGGCAGACACCCTCCTGCCCGCGGCTCCGCGCCCGTCCCCGCTGCCCTTGGGCCGCGCACGGCGGTACCTGAACAGGGCGACCGCAGTCTGGTTCCTCCTCCACGCCTTGCCCTGCTGCAGCAGCACCCCCTGCACGATCTCCTTCTCGTCGGGCAGCCGGTACACGGGGAAGACGTAGAGCCAGCAGAGGACGAAGACGCCCAGGGCGCTGGCGCCCACGGGCAGGCGGGTGCGCGGCCACTTCCACGGCAGCCCCGCCATCCTCATCCTCCTCCCGCAGCACCACCGCGGCTCCGGGCCGCGCTCCGGCATCAGGCCCGCGCCATACGGCGCCCGCGGGCTCAGCCCGGCTCAGCTCAGCCCGGCTCAGCTCAGCCCGGCTCAGCTCAGCCCCGCCGCCGCCCGCGCCCCGAGCCCGGCGGGCCGCCCGCCGCCATCGCCGCCCAGCCGGCCGCGGGGGTCGGGGCTGCTGCCGGCGCTGCTGCCGCTGCGCCGCGGCTCGCTCCTGTCTCGGCGGTGGCGGCTGCCGCCCGTCCTCACAGTCATTTGGTCCCTCGCGTTCCCCGCCAGACGATGCTCCGCCGCTCCCCGCCCTCCCTCCGCCTCCCGCCGAGCTCCGAGCTCGCTCCCTCGCTGAGGACGGACCCGGTAAATTTCCACCCCGCCCCGGCCCGGGGGGTGCCCCGGCCCCTCCGCCCGCCCCCCAGACGCGGGGAGAGGAGGAACAGAGGGAGGGGAGCGGCGTCGGAGACCCGAGTGCTGCAGGGATCTGCTCCGGCGCCGCGGCCGCTCCCGCTCGACCCGCGGCGGGCACTGGGCGAGCCGAGCGCAGGGAGGGGACGAGGGGGAGAAAGAGGGAGGGAGGTCTCACTCCGGGCAGCGCCGCCGGCACACGGCGACCCTCCCTCCCTCCCGGCGTTGGTCTCTCTGCCCCGGCACACACCGACCCTCCCTCTCTCCTAGCGCCGGTCTTTTTCCCCCAGCACCGGCCGCGCCGATCTCCAGCGCGCCCTGGCGGGCACCGACCCCCGCCCGGCCTCCTGCATCCCGCCCTCCCTTCCTCTCGTGTCTCCCTGCGGAGCTCCCCGAGCGCTCCTTGCTTGGGGTTCCCCCGGGGCCAAGCCAAGGAGTCCCAGAGCCGGGATCATCGTACCAGTCAAAGTGCATTCAGCACAAAGTACATCCTCTGCGAATACGCACAGAAATGTTGGAGTAAGATTGTTTGTTTGTTTGGTTTGTTTGTTTGTTTGTTTTGGAGAACGTTGCAAACTCGGGGTGGGGAGGGGGTGTGTTCAGCAAACCCAAAAGCAGAGTGTGTTCAGCAAACCCAAAACCCCAGCCAGCAGCACCGTTCTCAAAGTAGCAGCTTTGTATCAGTATGTGTGCAGCATCACCGGCCGGCTGAAGGAGATCATTGTCTCACTCCGCTCTGCGGTGCTGCAGCCTCATCTCCAGTCCCGTGTTCAGTTTGGGCAACACAACGTAAGTCAGATATAAAGCTATTGGAGAGTGTCCAAAGGAGGACTATGGAAATGGTGAAGGGTCTAGAGGGGAAGCCACACGAGGAGTGGCTGAAATCACTTGGCTTGTTCAGCCTGGAGGAGACTGAGGGGAGACCTCACAGCAATCTACAGCCTCCTCACCAGGGGAAGTGGAAGGGCAGGCACTGATCTCTGCTCTCTGGTGACCAGAGACAGGACCTGAGGGGATGGCATGAAGCTTTATCAGGGAAGGTTTACTTTGGATATTAGGAAAAGGGTCTTCATTCAGAGGGGATTGGGCACTGGAACAGGCTCCTCAGGCAAGTAGTCACAGCACCAAGCCTGACAGTTCAAAAAGCATTTCAACAACTCTATCAGACACACGGTGTGATTCTTGGGGTGTCCTGTGCAGAGCCAGGAGTTAAATTTTGATGATCCTTGTGGATCCCTTCCAATTCAGGATATTCTATGATTTTGTGTGCCTACACATAGAATGTGTGTGTGCTTGGGTCTTTGAAGAAAACACACTGGGGTTTATATCCCCAGGTGGGACATGGGCAGTTGGTGGGATGTCCCAGCCCTCTGGGGTTATGGCTGAAGTGGCCAGAGCTTGGGAGACTTGGTAGAGAAGCCGCCCAAAAGCCAAGGAGCAGCAGCAGGAGCCTTGCATACCTACAGCAATGCCCAGCTCAGGCTTCCCATTGGGAACCCACCACCTGCCTGCCAGGATGAGAGTGACACATGAGTGGTCTTCAGCCCTCCTAAATCAGCAGAGTGTGATCATTTTATGCCAACAGAGTGACACCAGCAGTAGAAAGCACCTCTCTGTGGTAATCAGGTAGGTTGAAACATGGTAGACGTGTTCATCTCCTCTCAGTGAGAATCTCAGAGGCAGCCCCCAATTTCAGAGCCCAGTCTCTACTTCTTGGCATAAAAGGCAGATTCAGCCCAGGCTGGTACCATCAGTATGTGTTCAGCATCTCCAGACACCTTCCAGACCCACTGAGAAATGCTGCAGACTCCCACATAACCCTAGAAAGAGTTTTATGTGAGTCAGTAGCCAGGTCCTTTCCAGATTTTTCAGCACATGGAGACTTGGTACTTCGGGCACTTTCAGGGTCGAGTGATAGCTAAGCGATGGGTTTGAACGCTCAAAACTTGGGATGCTCAAGGTAGCAAGAACATGTTGACAGCCTTGACAGACAAGGATTAGCCTGACTCAAGGCATGTCAGCACAGAACATCTTGCAGAGATATGTTGATCATGGTGGGTGATGGGGGTGGGGGGGGAAGTAAAACTGAATTCATCTGCTAAAATTGTCTGGAGCACAGTGATGAACAGCTGCTGTTAGTCACCTAGCAAAGGTGGCAAAAGAACAATCCATGGGTCAAGATTCTAACCAAACCAGTAGAGATTTGGAAAAATAAATTCTGAGCTTGAAAACAGACAACCCCAAATTCTACAGCTCTTCCTGCAAATGTCCTGACCTTCCCCTGCATTAATGATTGAAGGAAGCTTTGAAAAAAAATTGGGTGAATGAAGGAAAACAAGAAGAAAGTTTGTCACAGTTTGTTTAGCATCTCCTGGCCATAAGGCATCATTAAAATAATCATAAATACTAGCTGGGTGTTTAAACAGCATTTACAGCTAGAGATCCCAACAGATACTACTTAGTTCTTAGTAAAAAAACAAACTTGGAAATCTCAATGCACTTTCAGTGCTTAAGAGAAGGAAAAATATTCTCTTTCATAGTGTGTTGCCATGTAGAAATATACACTGACAAACAGTTCATTGACATCATGATATCTAATTAACACAAAAGTGTGAGAAACATGTAATTGCATAAGAAATATTCTTTTCATTCATATCTGATATGCTATAGCTGCCTAGAACATTTTAGCTGTTTTCTCTGGACAAAAATTGGAAAAGAAACTGAGCAAGGCATTTTGGTTTACCTCTGGAAAAAAAATATTTAGAACAGGATAAATATTTTCATTTTGGTGAAGAATCTATTTAGCAACAGCAAAACAAGCCAAAACCTGTTCAGTCACCTCTATTAAAAATGAACCATTAACTCTTTGGAGACTAATTCAAAACATAGTTAGCTAGGCTCATAATAAGTAAAAAAAAAAAAAAAAAAGGGTTTGAAATTTACAAAACTGTATCCCAAATTAAATCCTGATCTTTAATCACCTTTAATTGGAAAAGAAACAAACTAGAGGCTCAGTGTTGCTTGGGAAACCAGAAAGCAGAAAAGAACAAGAGAAAGTAGGAACAACTTATTCTTTCACCGTCCAAACTGCTTGCAATGAACCAAGTTAAAACACAGCCAATATACTCAAGATTTTTGGGATATCTTTTATTTGTGAGCCTTTCCTCTCCTTTTGAGCATGAAGCCCCAAGGCTGTTCACTGAATTCATAACAGCCCATGGTCTGTCTAGTGCCGTCACCGTGTCCTGCCTGCTGCCCGCAAGGAGCCGGGTGCATCAAGACAGAGATGAGGCACAGCTTGTTACGTTGCTACTGGCTTGCCATGGGGAACTGAAAATGCCTGGCCTTGTTCTGCTCTTGCACAGGTGGGAATTACAGGTTCAGCAAGACAAGCTCAAACCCAGGTTTTTTACTCTGGAGTCAAATCTGTTTCTAGGCAGCGTTATCAGGTGCTGTCCTTTCCCTCCGTCAGTGAGCCCTGAAGTGAAGTGCACCAGTGCTTTCTGCTGAGGATGACAGCTTCAGGTGGAGAATAAACAGAGGGCAAGAATAAACTGCCAAAAATGAATCTTGTTTACAAGCAAGTAGTCTGAAGTACCTCAGTGACACTTTGCAGTCGTGGAGATTTATAGATGTAGTGATCAACAACCCATGTCTTGAAATCGAAGCAGAAAATTGATATTCAGGTGTGATCCTACTCTGCTGAACTCCTGTTTTAGTGAGAACTGAGTGGCAAGATTTGACCTCACCTTCATTACTTTCTTTCCAAGACCCCCAGCCAGAAGGGACAGATATCCTGAGCAGGGTCCATCCCCATCCTCTAGAGAAAAAAAAAAAAGAAAAAAAAAAAAAGTGTTCTTGAGAGGTGCCTTTAAAAAGCAGGACAGAGGAAAGCAACAACTGAAAGCACAAAATCACATGTCTCCTAAACACTCAGAAGAAATAGTGTGACTATCCACTGATCAGAAAGAAAACGCAGTGATGTTATTTTCCCGCTTTCCCTCCAAAAAGCCCCGGCAAAATCTCTTCTGTTCCCTGTTGCGCTCCCCTCCAGCCCCTGCGGGTGGAGCTGACACTCTGCTCAGCCAACACCTTTCTCAAGCGTTAGAATCCATCTCCTTTCCTTTGCTCCCAGGCCAACACACATACGAAGATCAGAGCTGCATCCTTCAAAAAATCCAGGGTTTGCCTGCTTTCATTTGGAGAATCTTGTACTCCTACAGGCATCGCTCTGTCTCAGCTCTCTCACTTCCAAAATAACAGGGATTCCCCCTTCACTTCAGCATCCCACACACTTTCCTCTCCGCAGAATTTAGCAGAGGAGTTGCATTGGAATCAGCTTTCAGGCTATGGCATCCTTTTAGTTGATGAAATTGTTATCATGCCATATACCTGGTAAATCCATTGTCTTCCGAATGCTCTCAGTTACCACCTGACTAAAATTCCTTGCTCTACACCACGCCAGCAGCTCTGGAAGCATTTCATGCTCCATTAGCAGAGTCTATGGGAAGGTTGGATTTGTTTTCTAAGGGAGAAGGAAGCTGAAAAAAGTAGATATTTTGTGTCTAATCCCAGCTCTTATTCCCCACTGTCATAAATTCTCATTGCTATGTTTTTTTGACCCAATGTACAGCAGCAAAATGTTCAGAAATCATCTCCTGTCTGAGCTGTTATTGTAGGCCAGCTTTTGTGTGGTGTTGCCCGTGAACGAGCTGATTTCTCTGCATTCCT